CGGTCTCCTGAGTAGCTGGGATTACAGGCACGCGCCACCATGCCCAGCTGATTTTTTGTATTTTTAGTAGAGACGGGGTTTCACCATGTTGACCAGGATGGTCTCGATCTCTTGACCTTGTTATCCACCCGCCTCAGCCTCCCAAAGTGCTGGGATTACAGGCGTGAGCCACCGTGCCTGGCCCATTGGCTTTTTATAATAAATGAAATCATAAACAGAATTTCATATGATGAATGTATACCATAAAATTTCTTCAACATACATATAGCTCTTTTCAAGTTAAAGTATTTTAATTCATTAAAACATATTTAAAATGTGTGTAAAGAAATTAAATTCATTTTCATTGTATTTAGACATATTAAACCACATGAAAAGAATCTCATTGACTACAACTTAGGGCACTATCTTCTAGGTTTGACCCACTTAATAAAAGAGAAAAAGTTAGTAAGAATCAGGAGTTAGCAGAGCATGCTGACCTTTTCACTAACTACTGATAACACTTTAGAAACTTCAATTTCCCATTTAAAAATGCATGATGAAAATGCCTGGAAATTCAGTAGCTCATCTCTAAGTTTTCTTGAGTTTTCCTTACAAAAACTCAGGCATGACTTTAGGATAAAAATGACTTGTCAGAGTTATATAATGCACTATGATTGAATTAAAACAATAAGAACTGTGGAAATATACATCACAGTTTTATTTTCCAGTGGCCCCATGGGTACTTGAAACCAGTGAACTGAGAAAATGCAATTTGATATAGAGTGTTTCAGAACAAAACTGCCATGAACATCACACTTTTTAATAGGATCTAGAACAACATAATTTCTGGAAAGATGTTAAGACAGAAATTAAAGATTAATCAGTGAATGGCAACTGGTAGGTAGGAAAAGGTCAATAAGGGGCAGCAGAGAGAAAAGAAAGGAGGGAAGAAAGAACATGGATGGTATCCCAAAGGCCACTGGCCTAGGCCTCTGTGTTCCCATTGTTGAACCAGATAATGAAGGGATGGTTCACAAGTCTCATTAAATTTGCTGAAGATGATCTTAAGGGGACAACCACCATCCTGGAAGGTAGAATTAAATACACATTAAAGGACTTTAATAAACAGAGAAATAATCAGAAGCAAACCACTGATAATCATTGCAGAGCTTGACAGAAAGAGAGGAAATACCAAGTGCACAAGTGCAAGCTGGAGAGAATGACAAAGAAACTGTAATAACGGTACGGTGACCATATAATTTATCATCTAAACATGGACATGTGGAGGGGAGAAAAGGGTGCTAATACTACACAGGGACAACAGGTTTAAATGACGATTGTCTCAAATAGGAATATAAAGTCACCTTATGCTGTGTTTTAATGCATCCACTAAAAGGCACATGTTGGGAACTTAATCTCCAAGGCAACAGTGTTGATAGATGGGGCATAATGAGAGGTGATTAGACCATGGGGATTCTCCCCTTATCAATGAATTAATGCCCTTTTCATAGGTCTGGGTTTGTTATATAAAAGCAAGTTTAGTCCCCTTCTCTCTCTTGCCCTCTTTTTTGTGCTTCCACCATGTTATGATGCAGCTAGAAGGCCCTTACCAGATGTGAGCACCCTGACCTTGGACTGCCCAGCCTCCAGAACCATGAACCAATAAATTTCTGCTCCTCATAAATTACCCACTTTGGAGTATTCTGTTATAGCAACACAACACAGACTAAAAAACCTTAATAACGAGGCATGGAATGTACAACTGTAGGTGAGCTATTGAGATCTAGGAAATACTGGAATTCAGTCTTGGCATTTAAAATCACATGCTGCAGTGATCACTAGATCTCCTTTTAACTGCCCATAAATTTAAAGCCATATTACTCTTTTCCTATACCAAATTGTTACCAAGTTAAACTATAAGAAGAACAGTTGATTTCCAGACCAACTGTATTTTTAGATCCCAGGATTCTAGGGAAAACTCTTACCCCCGCCCCAAATTGGCATCCTTTCCATTTCAAATCTCTTTAGTTTTCAACTTCTGAGATTATTTCAATTTTTCCTATTTGACTGGGATTAGAAATATCCTGCTTGGGGCTCATAATTTTAAGGTA